GGTGGCTCACACCTGTAATCCCTGCACTTTGAAAGACCTATGCAGGCAGACGACTTGAAGTTAGGAGTTCAAGACCAGCGTGGCTAACATGGTGAAAGCCTGTCTCTACTAAAAAACAAAAATTAGCTGGGCATAGTGGTGCCTAGCCGTAGTCCCAGCTATCCTGGAGGCTGAGGCAGGAGAACAGCGTGAACCCGGGAGGTGGAGGTTACAGGGAGCTGAGATTGTGCCACTGCAGTCCAGCCTGGGTGACAGAGTGAGACTCTGTCTCAAAAATAAAAATTAAAAAAATAAAAATATATGAACTTTGGGAGCCTTTTAACAATAGATTAGCGTAAGTTCACCTGTTCTTTCCAAGTTTTCTGTACCTGCTCATTAACAAAGATTCTATTAAAGCTATGTTTTTATTCTAGAAGCACATAATTGGCAATAGTATATAGTTGATAAAATAGAAATGTGCTGGCTAGAATTTACTCCTTTCTAGGAAAATATTTCTCTGCTTATTGCCAGACTTAGCTTTTTTTTTTTTTTTTGTCATTTACATCAAAGTTCATCTTGCTGTCCTTTGACATTTACTAGCATTTTCTTTTCTTTTCTTTTTCTTTCTTTTTTTTTTTTATACTCTCTGAGGTCTTCTGAATGGACTGAAGTCTTCTGAGTTTAATGGCATTTTTAATTTCAGTACCAAGCATTCTGGTCTCTTTCTTTTGGTAATAATGCTCTGTTATTCCTTTAGGGATCTACTTCCCACATTCTGTGTTATTTTGATGAGAATGTCAGGCAAGGTGTCTCAATCAGCATAAGGTAGTTAAGCTGGGCCAGTTGAATTCTTTCTTCTAGGAAGTTACATCTAGAGCATGACTAGTGATGAAAAAAATCATACTGCTTGATGTCCTGATATCCAGTGAACTCCTTGGCCTTTATTTTCAGAATTAAATAGGAGTAGACATTTTAGGCCAGAGAGATCAACTATCAATCATGCTAATTATAAAAGTAAGATTTTATATTTAATCCTTACAAATTTTGCACACAGGCCCACATTCTTATTTATAGGCATTGAACAAGTGACAGCCATTGCATGGCAGTTTGTTAGGAGGAAGTCTGGAATTCAAATCTGGGAATTTTTAATGTCTTCCCTTGATGAGATTTTTATGGAAAAAGTGTGAAGATTTATAACACTTACTCTGGAAAGGATGACAACCAAGACAACCAACTGTAGGGTTTTAATCTATGGCCCCAAATTGGTTGTATTTAAATTTCTACTACATATGATGATATCCAAAATATTTTCATGATGCACTGAAAATTTATCAAATAGGAAAACTGTGATTTGGGTTATAGTTTATGTATTTGCTATAGTGCAAATAGAATAATACTTATTTTAGTGGTCTCTGTATACATAGACAGTTAAACCATAAGCAACAGTATTTGAAAATAAATGCACTGTGAACAGCTTTTGTAAATCTATGAAGGCTAATAATATATGAGATCTCACATATAGGAGAGTCTTGGTGTTGTTTGTTGACTTTATTTCTTTAGCAAATGTTTAGGTAACACTGTATTGAATATATGTATCAATGCTATGAGTTCCCCCATTTACAGATGAGGAAACTGAAGTCACGGAGAGATTAAATAGCTTATCGAAGATCCTACAGCTGTGTTGAATCATCTTGTTAACAGATCAGTTTTATTAATCACCTTAGAGGTTGCCTCTGGAATGAAATGGTGAACAACATGCATGAAGCAGTTATTTTCATTACCACATGTGATGAAAATAATTGTTTAATTGTTTCTACTTGTTTAACAATTATTTATTGAGTACATAGTACATGCACCACTGTACAATGTACAGAAACTATATAGTGTACAAAATAAGCAAATGTTTGACTTCATTAAGCTTATGTTCTAGTGAGAATTCCGTAAGGATATTAATACTTGAAAGTGATCTTGTTTAAGCTTTTTTAGAGCTGGGACTATGTCTTTTGTCTCTGTATTCCTGACTTCCAGGTCAGTTCATGATAGATATTAGAGAGTACATGAATAAAGGAGAGAAAAAGTAAATGAAATGCACCATACAATGTTCCTTTATTTTTGTTTTTTATTTGAAACTCTTTCCTGAAGAGTAACATACATTTATATAGAGAATATTTGGTACTGTAGAAATTATGCAAAATATAATTATCATTACATTTTCAACTTGTAAATAAAAATAAGTATATTATTTGGGAATAGGAAATAGTAATGTTATTGAATAGGGAAGAAATTGTGGCACAACATTTCAAAGCATTTATCTATAAAGTGCTTTATATGATGGGCAGTAGCTAATTAAGATTTTCAGATTAATGGGTAAATCAAACCTATCTTAGTCTCTTCTTTTTAACTGAATTGGGATCACGGTTATAGAGCACATAAAAGAGAAAAATCTAAGTTTCTGAAACCTCACATATAGAGTTAAGAACTTACAAAGGCATGTATCTTTCAAATAGCACATAAACTAGAAACATCAGGGAAAATAATGCATTGCAATCATTTCATTTATTAAAATAAGAATAACAAATAATTTTTACTTTATTGGTTTATCTTCAGTATATGATACTTAGATATGTAGCCTTTGACCCAGTAGGAATCAAAATAGAGGTGGTTCCACTTCAAGAATTTGTAATAATCCCTTCACTTTAGCACATGAATGTGTTTAGTATTGGCAAAAGAACACGTTGCTACCAAAACTGAAACAAGATCTTTGAAACAGAAAGGATGTTGCCATGGAAAAATGAAGTAACACTCAGTGCAGCTGTGATGCATTCATGAATAGGATATTTTTTTAAAAGATCATTTGTGTTTGGTGTGGCTCAGAGGGTCCCAACCAGATGGTTTCCATGAACATGATCTGACCCCCAGCTTGAGGACTTCTTACTGGCAGATTACTTCATTTTCTTTCCCTTGGATTGTCAGATCCTTACATTAATTCAGAATTTACTGCTGCAGATTTATATTCAGTAATATAAATCACTCAACATTTTACATTAAAACCACAATTTTATACATACAGTTTAACAGTTATTTTAAAAGTGTAAAAAGATTTATATGATAGCTTTAGTATATGTAATAGATATAACATCATAATAATTTTGAGTAATTTTAATTATATTCTTATCATTAAAGGAATTCTCACAAAATATATTTTAGAAAGTTTATTTTAGAGTTGTATATCTGATGCTACTGTAGTGTTGATTCTGTTTGCATTGCTCACATTGTTTACACTTGATGAAATAATTGATTTTTAAATTAGTGAAATTTTATGTTTTATGATTTTGGAAATTTTGGCATGATTTCAATTTGTTCCTAAGGATTTGTATGCATGTGGATGTGTATGGTAGCATACTAAACTAATTACCTCACATTATTGAAAGCATTTTTCACTGTAATATCAATACCTACATGAAGTGTTAAATACTGACACTTCATATTTTGACCTTTTAACCTGAATTAATAAAGGCTATGCTTTTAATGTGCCATTTTAAATTGTGCAACTGAAAATTACTAGTGAATTATGTTAAATATTTTAAAGCATAATTGTAAGTTACCTGAGACAATGTAGACTTCTATTTCAGAATAAATAAACTACATTCTGATCTTAAGTACATATATTAACACATATGTACTTTATCTAATCTGCAGGATAAGATTTTAGAACTAAAATGAGCTCATGCTTCATGAACCAATGCACTTATTTTTGTAAAATTTTATCTGTATTTTTCGTCACTGAATCCATCAGTTTGTCCACGCCCCAAAATGTGAAGCAAAGACGAACAGGTTTGTTTATTTATAGGTTGGCAAATTATTTATCGTATCAAGGAATTCCAAACCTGCTACATATCATCATGCTCTCACCAGAGTAGTATATTAGGCCTAAGAGAAGAGATATTGCTGTTATCTTTTAAAAATGTAGTCTTTTTGCTAATATAGTTTCTTTGAATATCCAAGAATTTATGAATTAAAAAAAATATTTTGTATTACACCTCCAGATAACATCTTTTTGTGTGAAATATTTTGTAGGAAATCAACCAGTCATAATTTGTATTTTCTCAATAACTTAAACATTGTAGGCTGTTGCAGCAATTGGATAATGAGACACACAGTACTACTTTATAAGCACCGCTAAGACTAATAGACTTTAATCTACATTGCTTCTGAATTAAGAAGTCATGATGAATTCAGTTTTGGGGTTGGGCTTACTTTGTCTCTTTATCTTAATCTTTAAGGTCCTGGCAACTTAATGTAACTCTACTGGAGATAGGAGAGCTTTAAGATAATACATGAAATTATAATTTAGGTAATTTGAAGAATGAAAAAAACAATAAATAATGCTCTGATTTTTAAGTCTTCTGATTTCTCCTATTACCGTGTATTTGTTTATGTATAATAAATCTGATATATGTATGTATACTTGAATCATTGTATATAAAAAGTGAAAGTATGTGATATAAACATGTTTTTTAATGTTTGTCTAGTATTATAAATTGAATGTTTTAAACATTTTTTTCTTATATTCTAGTCTGTGAAGTAAAAATGGAAGAACTAAATTCACATAAAAATAGCCCTTTTTAAAAAAAGTAACAGCAATAAATTGCTAGGTAGTTCTAGGCCTTAACTGGTGTTAACAAAATTTTCTAATAAACTGCAAAAGAAGGAGGGATTTCTGATCTTCTTTGGCCAGCACATTTTCTAACTCAGTCTTGTGTCTTGGAAAAGACTATGTGGAAGGGCAGATCATCTCTTGTCACTGGGCATTTTGTATCGAGTGTATAACAAGAGTAAACAGTACCTTTTCAAGTATTTTTTATATTCATTAGTGAAAATAAGTCATAAAGATAAGTCATCAAATAAGTCATAAATATGGAACGTTTACTTTTTTGGTTGTTTATTCTGGTGAAGATATTAGGTGTTTGAAGGTATATTTAGTCTGATCCAAATATTTTAATTCTGCTTTTCTTTTCTAGCTTGAAGTACAATCTTGTTGTGTGTTTATTCCAAATGATAGCCTGCCTTCCCCAAGTACAATTATATCTGGTGACATTCCTGGAACAGTGAGAAGTTGGTACCATGGACAAACCAGTATGCCAGGAACACTTGTCCTCTGTTTGCCTCAAATAAAGATTATTAGTGCTGGGCACAAGTACATGGAACCTCTTCAGGAGATTCCATTTGTTATCCCACGACCCATCCTCGAAGAAGGTATATTTAAAAATTTTTTTCCTATGGTTAATATTTTATATGGACATTTTTAGATTTGTTGGTGTTTTTAAATGTTTCAGTGTATAAGCAAATCAGTCTTCTCATTGAAAGATTTTCCTGACCAAAGTAAATGAACTAAGTGATGCCATTTATTGCCATCCATATATTTTAATCTTAGTCACATATTCACATATATGTTATATATAAAAGATCATATACAATATAATATAATCACTAAAAAACAAACATAGGAAGAATTAACTTGGGAAGAAAGTTGGTTTTGGATATTAACATTAGGCTAAACTAAGAATGATAAGTAGACTGATCTAATTTAAGCTACTTGATTTATGAATGAATGTATTATATATAAAAATAACTGCGTGAATATAGTATTTAGCAAGCGTAATGCATTTTTAGATTTCTCATTTGTTTATACAAAGTAATTATATGATGATTAAAGTCATGATCCTTTTTCCAATATATATATATTTGATTTCTCATATTGCCGTGTTTTCAGTTATGAATTCATAAGCTTTTGAACTTTGGCATGTTCATTTCAAACAAAATGTGAACCTGGAAAAATTTTGAGTCATAAAGTAAGTAATCTGAATATATGTTATAATAACAAGGCTCAAATTTTTGACAGTACTAAACAGGTCAACACCTTGTTCATATTATTAGGATGTAAGTGTATGAATCCTGATACCATTGAAATTTCTACATACTGTCACTGAAAAGCAGACATAGCCTGTGAAATTTTTGACCTCTACTTTGATGTTGGTTTCTCTCTCCTTTTCTCTATACTGAAATTTCTGTCAAATTCTACTTTTCTTATATTTATTAAAAGAAAGCATGATTTCAGTAAGAGACATTTTTGGTCCTTAATAATATGAATACTGTTATTATACAGTCACAGAATTTTAAGGTGAAAGGGAATATTTTTAGAGTGTATGATCTTTTGTGACTGGTTTCTTTCATTTACTGTAATATTTTTAAGATTGATTTATGTTGTAGCAGTCTTTATTGTTTTTATGGCTGAATAGTATTCTATCTTATGGAGATACCAAATTTTCTTGATTCATTCATCAGTTGATGGACAGTTGAGTTTGTTTTCACTTTTTGACTTTTATGAAAAATCCTGGTATAAACTTTTTTTTACAGGATTTTTGTGTGGATTTGTTTTAATTTTTTTTAGCTATATGCCCAGGAGTAAAATTGTTGCGTCGTATAGTAACTATGTTTGAGCTTTTCAGGAATTGTTAGACTGTTATCTAAACTGTCTGCACCATTTTACAATACCACATTAATGTACAAAGGTTCTAATTTTTTCACATCTTTGTCACTATTTGTTATTATCCGCTTTGTTTCTTTTCTTTTCTTTTTTTTTTGTTCTAGCCATCCTAGACAATAACCTCTTAAACTGGAGAGAACAATTAATTTAAAGTGTTAATTTTTTGTTTTTTGTTTTTTGTTTTTTTTTGAGATGGAGTATTGCTCTGTCACCTAGGCTGGAGTGCAGTGGCACAGTTCTGGCTCACTGTAGCCTCTGCCTCCCAGGTTCAAACGATTCTCCTGCCTCAGCCTCCGAAGCAGCTGGGAATACAGGCACTTGCTGCCATACCCAGCTAATTTTTGTATTTTCAATAGAGTCAGATTTCACCATATTGGCCAGGCTGGTCTCGAATTCCTGACCTCGTGATCCACCGATCCACCTTGACCACCCAAAGTGTTGGGATTACAGGCGTGAGCCACTGTGCCTGGACAAATTAAAGTGTTTTTTTTTTCTTCTTCTTCTTCTTCTTTTTTTTGTTATTATTATACTTTAAGTTCATGTGCATAATGTGAAGGTTTGTTACATATGTATACTTGTGCCATGTTGGTGTGCTGCATCCATCAACTCGTCAGCACCCAACAACTCATCATTTACATCAGGTATAACTCCCAATGCAATCCCTCCCCCATCCCCACTCCCCGTGATAGGCCCCAGTGTGTGATGTTCCCCTTCCCGAGTCCAAGTGATCTCATTGTTCAGTTCCCACCTATGAGTGAGAACATGCGGTGTTTGGTTTTCTGTTCTTGCGATAGTTTGCTGAGAATGATGGTTTCCAGCTGCATCCATGTCCCTACAAAGGACACAAACTCATCCCTTTTTATGACTGCATAGTGTTCCATGGTGTATATGTGCCGCACTTTCTTAATCCAGTCTCTCACTGATGGACATTTGGGTTGATTCCAAGTCTTTGCTATTGTGAATAGTGCCGCAATAAACATACGTGTGCATGTGTCTTTATAGCAGCATGATTTGTAATCCTTTGGGCATATACCCAGTAATGGGATGGCTGGGTTATATGGTACTTCTAGTTCTAGATCCTTGAGGAATCGCCATACTGTTTTCCATAATGGTTGAACTAGTTTACAATCCCACCAACAGTGTAAAAGTGTTCCTATTCCTCCACATCCTCTCCAGCACCTGTTGTTTCCTGACTTTTTAATGATTGCCATTCTAACTGGTGTGAGATGGTATCTCATTATGGTTTTGATTTGCATTTCTCTGATGGCCAGTGATGATGAGCATTTTTTCATGTGTCTGTTGGCTGTATGAATGTCTTCTTTTGAGAAATGTCTGTTCATATCCTTTGCCCACTTTTTGATGGGGTTGTTTGTTTTTTTCTTGTAAATTTATTTGAGCTCTTTGTAGGTTCTGGATATTAGCCGTTTGTCAGATGAGTAGATTGCAAAAATGTTCTCCCATTCTGTAGGTTGCCTGTTCACTCTGATGGTAGTTTCTTTTGCTGTGCAGAAGCTCTTTAGTTTAATTGGATCCTATCTGTTAATTTTGGCTTTTGTTGCCGTTGCTTTTGGTGTTTCAGACATGAAGTCCTTGCCCATGCCTATGTCCTGAATGGTATTACCTAGGTTTTCTTCTAGGGTTTTTATGGTATTAGGTCTAACATTTAAGTCTCTAATCCATCTTGAATTAATTTTCATATAAGGAGTAAGGAAAGGATCCAGTTTCAGCTTTCTACTTATGGCTAGCCAATTATCCCAGCACCATTTATTAAATAGGGAATCCTTTCCCCATTTCTTGTTTTTCTCAGGTTTGTCAAAGATCAGATGGCTGTAGATGTGTGGTATTATTTCTGAGGACTCTGTTCTGTTCCATTGGTCTATATCTGTTTTGGTACCAGTACCATGCTGTTTTGGTTACTGTAGCCTTATAGTATAGTCTGAAGTCAGGTATCGTGATGCCTCCAGCTTTGTTCTTTTGACTTAGGATTGTCTTGGCAATGCGGGCTCTTTTTTGGTTCCATATGAACTTTAAAGCAGTTTTTCCCAATTCTGTGAAGAAACTCATTGGTATCTTGATGGGGATGGCATTGAATCTATAAATTACTTTGGGCAATATGGCCATTTTCACGATATTGATTCTTCCTATCCATGAGCATGGTATGTTCTTCCATTTGTTTGTGTCCTCTTTTATTTCACTGAGCAGTGGTTTGTAGTTCTCCTTGAAGAGGTCCTTTACATCCCTTGTAAGTTGGATTTCTAGGTATTTTATTCTCTTTGAAGCAGTTGTGAATGGGAGTTCGCTCATGATTTGGCTCTCTGTTTGTCTGTTACTGGTGTATAAGAATGCTTGTGATTTTTGCACATTAATTTTGTATCCTGAGACTTTGCTGAAGTTTCTTATCAGCTTAAGGAGGCCAACATCATCCTGATACCAAAGCCTGGCAGAGACACAACAAAAAAAGAGAATTTTAGACCAATATCCCTGATGTACATCGATGCAAAAATCCTCAATAAAATACTGGTAAACCGGATCCAGCAGCACATCAAAAAGCTTATCTACCATGATCAAGTAGGCTTCATCCCTGGGATGCAAGGCTGGTTCAATATACGCAAATCAATAAACGTAATCCAGCATATAAACAGAACCAAAGACAAAAACCACATGATTATCTCAGTAGATGTAGAAAAGGCCTTTGACAAAATTCAACAGCTCTTCATGCTAAAAACGCTCGATCAATTCGGTATTGATGGAACGTATCTCAAAATAATAAGAGCTATTTATGACAAAGCCACAGCCAATATCATACTGAATGGGCAAAAACTGGAAAAATTCCCCTTGAAAACTGGCACAAGACAGGGATGCCCTCTCTCACCACTCCTATTCAACATAGTGTTGGAAGTTCTGGCTAGGGCAATCAGGCAAGAGAAAGAAATAAAGGGTATTCAGTTAGGAAAAGAAGAAGTCAAATTGTCCCTGTTTGCAGATGACATGATTGTATATTTAGAAAACCCCATTGTCTCAGCCCAAAATCTCCTAAAGTGTTTTTAAGAACTCTGTTGCTAGGCAGAGAGTAAATAGATTGATTTACTACATCATTTAATATACTAAATACTCATCTTAATATTTATAAAACTAAAGCTTACTTTATGAAAATGGTGTTTATTTTTACTATAAAAATGGTAAAAGTGGTGTGAAGTGGAATCTCACTGTGGTTTTGGTTTGCATTTCCCTAATGACTAATAATGTTGAACTTATTTTCATGTGCTTGTTGGCCATTTGTATATCTTCTTTAATATTTTATTTCTTTTTATTTCTTTTTTTGGATCGGGTTTTCTTCTTGCCCAGGCTGAAGTGCGGTGGTGCAATCACGGCTCGCTGCCCCCTTGACCTCCTGAGCTCAATTGATCCTCCCACCTGAGTAGCTGGGACTGCAGGCACACACCACCATGCCCATCTAATTTTTAAATTTTTTTGTAGAGGTGGGGTTTCACCATGTTTTGCAGGTTGGTCTCGAACTCCTGGGCTCAAGTGATCCACCTCCCTCAGCCTCTAAAAGCACTGGGATTATAGGCATGAGTCACCCTGCCCCACCTAATATTTTCTTCTATTCAAATCTTTTGCCCACTTTTTAGTTGAGTTACTTGCCATCTTATAGTTGAGTTGTAGGAGTTATTTATTATATTCTAGATACTAGACCCTTATAAAATAC